CTTGCCCTGGCTGGTTTGGCTCAGTGGATAGAGCATTGGCCTGCGGACTAAAGGGTCCTGCGTTCGATTTTGATCGAGGGAGCATGCCTGGGTGCAGGCTCAATCCCCAGTGGGGAGCGTGCAGGAGGCAGCCGATCAATGATTCTCTCTCATCATTGATGTTTCTATCTCTTTCTTCCTCTCCCTTTCTCCCTGAAATCAATAAAAATATATTTTAAAAAATTTTCATAACTTAATTTTTACAATATCCTGGTATACATATTCTATATATATAAAAGGCTAATATGCTAAGTGTCCAACTGTTCGATTGGTCGCTATGATGCGCACTGACCACCAAGGGACAGACGCTCAATGCAGGAGCTGCCATGATGCGCACTGGCCATTTACAGAGAAATGGCACTGTTGACCTGGTGCCCACAAAGCAACACTCGGCTTCCCCCAAGTGGGACACAGGCCCTGCCACCACCCTGGGGCAACACCCCACCAAATCGCAGCCGATGCTGCCGAGACCCCATGGCACAAAATGCGGCCCATAGCCCAGCCCCGCCTGGAAACGGTCGCTGTGGGCAACGGGTAATGATGTCACGCAGCAACGCCTGGCTTTCTCTCCCTAGCAACGACTAGCCTCCTTGGAATTTCTTCAGCCCAGGAACATGACTTGTTTTATAGCCAGGTGCAAACATTTTACACTGTAACCAAATGTCTGTGAAGCGTTTATCTGTGCCTCATCTCATTTGATCCTCACAGAAGTCCTGGAGTAGGTAGATAGGAGACTCTGTGGAATCCTATTTTCTTTTCATTCGCCAGAAAATGGAGATTTAGAAAGCTTAGAAACTTGACCCGACTGAAAAGAAGTAAGAAACGGTAGACCTTGAAAATGACTTCAGGTTTTCTCACTGCGCAAAATATAGTCAAACACTGCTACAGTTAAATATTTTACCCTTTGTTCTCCCTGCATGATCTACAATAATAATGTGCTTCGTGTTGATATTTACTGTTGTGTTGCTGACAATTATGTGAAAGAGAAGTTGGGGTGCTTCACTGGGCTGGAAAAAGTTTAGCTATATCAGAAAGCAGGTCTAATTAAGCAAGGTTATCTATATATATAAAGCTTTCCCTGGCACCAATCGCACGCGTGTGTTTCTATCAGTCATTGTCGATCATGAATTTGGTTGACACTTCTATTATAGAGAAAGGGCGAATAGCGATATTAAAATATTTCTTCTAATTAATATCCTTTCAATATACACGAATTCATGCACCAGGCTACTAGTTATTAATAATGAACTACAATGTTCGCTAATGACTGATTACTATAATCATGTTGCATTCATTTTCCTTACTCGCCTTATGCACAGGCGCACTACTTCTCTTCACTAATACTAGCAGCAAATATTTTAGCAGCCAATTGCCATGTCATTAGTCTTGTACTGACCTGTTTAGTGTGCGCAATGGGAAATATTTCGCTTTCAGAGAACAAGAAAAATAAGTTTATTTGCATTACGCTTATTAATTTGTACAGTTATTCAGTGTCTGGTAAGTTAATGTTCAAGAAAAAATATTAATTTTTATTTAAATGTTCTATTATTTTGTTAACAATTACTCATTTATTTCAGCCCTTTGTATTCAGCATGTCTCTATAGAAATAAACCTACGTTTCTATGAAAATTGAAGCTTTTGTTTTTTTGCAGCTCACATAAACTTAAATCTTGTTTATTTGGCCCATGTTAGCCTTTGAGTTTGACATGCTTGGTGTAGATGTACCACTGTTTTTTAATCCACTCATCTACTGATGGGCACTTAGGCTGTTTGCAAATCTTAGCTATTATAAATTGTGCTGCTATGAACATAGGGGTGCATATATCCTTTCTGATTGGTGTTTCTGGCTTCTTGGGATATATTCCTAGAAGTGGGATCACTGGGTCAAATGAGAGTTCTATTTTTAATTTTTTGAGGAAACTCCATACTGTTTACCATAGTGGCTGCACCAGTCTGCATTCCCACCAGCAGTATTTGAGGGTTCCTTTTTCTCTGCATCCTCTCCAGCATTTGTCATTTGCTGTTCTGTTGATGATAGCCATTCTGACAGGTGTGAGATGGTATCTCATTGTCATTTTGATTTGTATCTCTCGGATGATTAGTGACTTTGAGCATGTTTTCATATGTCTCTTGGCCTTCTATATGTCCTCTTTCGAAAAGTGTCTATTTAGGTCCTTTGCCCATTTTTTGATTGATCGTTATCTTCCTTTTGTTAAGTTATATGAGTTCCCTGTAAATTTTGGAGATTAAATCCTTATCGGAGATAACATTGGCAAATATGTTCTCCCATGCAGTTGTTTTGTTGATGGTTTCTTTTGCTATGCAGAAGCTTTTTATTTTGATGTAGTCTCATTTATTTTCTTCTTAGTTTCCATTGTCTTAGGAGTTGTACAGGTGAAGATATTTCTTTAACATATGTCTGATATTTTGTTGCCTATGGATTCTTCTAAGATTTTTATGGTTTCCCGTTTTACATTTAAGTCCTTTATCCATTTTGAGTTTATTTTTGTGTATGGTGTAAGTTGGTGTTCTAGTTTCATTTTTTTGCATATATCTGTCCAATTTTCCCAATACCATTTTTTGATGAGACTGTCTTGACTCCATTGTATGTTCTTGCCTTCTTTGTCAAATATTGAGCATAATGGCTTGGGTTGATTTCTGGGTTCTCTGTTCTGTTCCATTGGTCTATGTCTGTTCTTGTGCCAGTACCAGGCAGTTTTGAGAATAGTGGCTTTGTAATATAGTTTGATATCTGGTATTGTGATCCCTCCAACTTTTTTCTTCTTTCTCAGGATTGTTGCTGCTATTCGGGGTCTTTTTTTATTCCATATGAATTTTTGGAGAGTTTGTTCTAGGTCTGTGAAATATGCTGTTGGTATTTTAATGTTCCACTTATTTATGGATTCATTGGTTGCTTCTTATATGTGTCCTGACTGGGGATTAAACCCCAAACCTAGTGTATTGGAAGGATCCCAATTGAGCTACCCAACCAGGGCCCAGATACCTTGTTTTTTAAAAGCTGTCAACAAGACTAAGTTCAGAGTCTATGTGAAGATGAATTTGAATTGGTGGGAGAGCTCACATTTGATTTAAGTTCATCTCTAGCCTGGTCTCGACTAGTTGGACTTGGCTTTTGATTCCCAAGTATACAATAGAATGGAAGTGTCATATTATACAGACACTTATCTGCAGGATTACATACACTAGGTTAAACATAAGCAACAGAGCCCAGCTGGCATGGCTCAGTGGTTGAATGTCGACCTATGAATCAGGAGGTCACAGTTTGATTCTCGGTGAGGGCACATGCCAGGATTGTGGGCTCAATTCCCAGTGGGGGGCATTCAGGAGGTAGCCAATCAATGATTCTCTCATCATTGATGTTTCTATCTCTCTTTCTCCCTTCCTCTCTGAAATCAATAAAGATATAATAAATAAAAAATAAACATAAACAACAGAAATATTTGGAATAATTTGAAATAAATAACATGCAAGATTCTGCCACCTGTTGTTATCTGTGCACTGAAGTGAGAATGAATAAAGAGCTGCGAACTTGCTCTTCCTACAATCTTAGTCATGGTACACATATCTTGTTATGTTGAATGGTATTCTAAAGCAGTGGTTCTCAACCTTCCTAATGCCGTAACCCTTTAGTACAGTTCCTCATGTTGTGGTGACCCCCAATTTCACTGTTACAAATTGAACATAATTAAAGCATAGTGATTAATCACAAAAACAATATGTAATTATATATGTGTTTTTCGATGGTCTTAGGCGACCCCTGTGAAAGGGTCGTTCGACCCCCAAAGGGATTGCGACCCACAGGTTGAGAACCGCTATTCTAAAGTAAGTTGAATATGATTTAAACAAAGGAGGATTCCATACTATACCATTCTTAAACACAAATCAATAATTTTCCTTTTCATTTGTTGCTCAACCCAAAAGACATCAATTCAATCCTGTGTGGAAAAAAATAAGTGGCTGTGCTGAGAGATGGTATCCAAAGTGGCTTATAACAGGATCACAATGAACAAAGTATCTGTACCAATGAGGTGAGGGAGAAATTGGCTAACAAATAGCAACAAGTATACCAATAACAGCCAGGATAGTGAGCCAGGCCTTAGGGAAGACTGAAAAGCATATTTAATGACTAGAGACTAGCAATTTTCAACTGGTGTGCTATGTCACACTAGTGTGCCAATTTTAAAAACATGTTAATACCTGACTATTTAGCCAGGAAACTTTTCCCTTAAATTGTCAAATTAAAAAATGACAACAGCCAATACCATCATAGCCATCCAGTATGACTGAATCAAATTATATCTATTTTTTTTGGTCAGATTAACCAAAAAAAAAAAGTATGTTTTTTTTGGTGTGCTGCAGAATTTTGGTAATTAATTTATATATGTCATGGGATGAAAAATGTTGTAAATCACTGTTATGGACATAAATTTGAGGGTTACACCCATCAACACCAATCAGTACACTGAGAAAAAGGCTTGGCTTTCACTTGCTATTTAAACCACACACCATTCTATATACAGTACTGTTCATTGTCCCCAAAGGGCCAGGTTTATGTCTAGAGGCAATTCAAAACCAGCTAAAGTTTTAGAAACTGCTTCGGATTTAAGAGTTTTAGAAACTTGTTTCAACATCAAAGAAGTTGGAGTCGTTCATGAAGAAGGAGCACAGTTCCACTCTGAAACCTTAAACAAATTCACAGAAGCAGGGAACTATCTCCCAAACAAAATTTTTTTTAATGATGACAAGGGTAATCGTGACTAAATGAACTTTTGCCTAACAACTCACTTTCTAATGCTTTGTCTAGCGTCTCCACGCTAGAGGCTCCCGCCCATGAGTCACTTTGTAGCGGTCTCCCTTATCAGATCGACGGTCTCGGTATCTCAGTGCTGGTGTTCAAGTAACCTTTTCTTTCTTTCTTTTTTTTTTTTATACTTAATAATGGCCCCAAGGCGCAAGAGTAGTGATGCTGGCAATTCAGAGATGCCAAAGAGAAGCCGCCAAGTGCTCCCTTTAAGCGAAAAGGTGAAAATTCTTGACTTGATAAGGAAAGAAAAAAAATCCTATGCCGAGGTGGCTAAGATCTACAGTAAGAACGAGTCTTCTATCCGTGAAATCGTGAAGAAGGAAAGAGAAATCCGTGCTAGCTTTGCGGTTGCACCTCAGACTGCAAAAGTTACGGCTACCGTGCGCGACAACGGCTTAGTTAAGATGGAAAAGGCATTAAGTTTGTGGGTGGAAGACATGAACAGAAAATGTGTTCCAGTGGATGGCAGCATGCTGCGCCAGAAAGCACTGAGCCTGTACAAAGACTTGAGCGAGGGGTCCTCTGAGAGGAGGGACACCAAGCCATTTACTGCAAGTAAGGGCTGGTTGCACAGATTCAGGAATAGGTTTGGGCTGAGAAATGTAGGAGCTCCTGCAGGGGCAGCGCCTGCTGTTGAAGAAGCTGCTGCCACATCTCCCACAGAGGTGAAGGAGTTGATTCAGCAGGAAGGTATGTCTGTATAGAAAAAAACATGGTATGTGCAGGGTTTGGTACTATCTGTGGTTTCAGGCATCCACTGGTGGTCTTGGAACATAACCTCCTGTGGATAAGGGGGGGACTACTGTACATGTTTTTGTTTTGTCCATTCTTTAGCCACTGTAGTCTGCTGCCTGTGCTTTCCTTTGTCCTGCCTCTGGGATCTTGTAGGCTGGAATGATTTTTTTCTTTTCTTCGGGCTCTTCTCGCTTAAAGCCTGTATTGTTCGGTCAGAATTTGCTGTTCTTAACAGTATCCCAGTCAACTTGATTGCCCCGCCTAGGAGGGCATCTTTATTTCCTCTAGGAGTGTGTTTGTTTCTGTTTACATGTGTCTGGCCTCGTCACTAGGTATTAAACTCCTAGATGGGTAAGGATTAGGCTTTTCTGCCTTTCTTCCCCTTCCAGTCTACAACTGTCAAGGTGCTTTGACTACAGCTAACATTTGAATATTTTTTTATGTGCCTGGAATTGCTCTTAAGCTTTTTTTTTTTTTAAATATTTTATTGACTTTTTACAGAGAGGAAGGGAGAGGGATAGAGAGTTAGAAACATCTATGAGAGAGAAACATCGATTAGCTGCCTCCTGCACACTCCCTACTGGGGATGTGCCCGCAACCAAGGTACATGCCCTTGACCGGAATCGAACCTGGGACCCTTCAGTTCGCAGGCTGATACTCTAGCCACTGAGCCAAACCAGTGAGGGCTGCTCTTAAGCTTTTACTGTATATTTTCTTATTTAACCTTCAGAACCACTCCATAATTCCATTCTATAGATGAGGAACAAGCAGAGAGAAGCTGATTAATTTACTCTTGATTACCCAGTCAAGTAACTCTTGATTCCAAGATTTGAATCTAGGGGCAGGGGTCCTCAAACTTTTTAAACAGGGGCCCAGTTCACTGTCCCTCAGACCATTGGAGGGCCGGACTATAGTTTAAAAAAAAACTATGAACAAATTCCTGTGCGCACTGCACATATCTTATTTTGAAGTAAAAAACCAAAACGGGAACAAATACAATATTTGTATTTGCATGTGGCCCGTGGGCCATAGTTTGAGGACCCCTGACTAGGCAGCCGGAATTTTAACCTCGAAGCCAGTGGTTCTCAAACTCCTGTAAGCATCAGCATCCTCCGGAGGGCCAGTTGCTTGGCTCCTCCTTCTGATTCTGCAGGTCTCGGGTGGGGCCTGTTATTAGCATTTCTACCGGGTTTCCTGGTGGTGTTGATGCTTGAGAACTATTCACAATGGCAAATTAAGGTTTTTTGGGGTATTTATATATTTATTTATTTTTATTTTTGAGAGAGAGAGGAAGGGAGAGATAGAAACATCGATGAGAGACATTGATCTCCCTCCTGCATACTGGGTATCGAGCCCTGATCAGGAATTTAACTGATGAACTCTTGGTTCATGGGTCGATACTCAAGCACTGAGCCACACCTGCCGGACAGCAAGTTAAAGTTTTAAGTGAGGAAAATTTATTGTAGATATTTGCTTTTCATTACTTTAAAAATATATCTCTAAAAAAAATCAAAAACAATTTGAGCTGTTTACTGTAGTTTGGTTGGAAAACTGAGAGTTAAGAATTTTTATTAGCCATGATTAGAAAATTAAGAGTTTAAGAAATAAAGTCTCCAGTTTAAAAAAGAGTCAAGGATATTTAAGTACAGAATAAAATTAGAAATCTAATAATTTTGGCTTTTCCCCCCACTCTCATTCAATTATTAATTTATTCATGGCACAGGCATTTATCTCCTTCCAGGGATGTCTAAAGCTTCCCATCTACACCTTTGAGTATAAAGTCTGGGACCCCAGAATAGGTGGGGGTCATAGGGCCTGAGCATGGCACTGAGATAGGTTGGGCCAGGCTGAGGCTGGGAAGCTCCGGGCTCCTGCCCTACTTCCCCCAGCCGCTTGCACATCCAAGGATTTGGTTTACTATTTTGTTTATTTTAATTGTTGACAATATTACAGATGTCTCCCATTTTCTCCCTTTTTGCTCCCCTCCACCCAACCCCCACCCCAGGCCTTCCCCATACTATTGTCTGTGTCTGTAGGTTATGCATATATGCATATATGTTCTTTGATTAACCTCTTCCTGTCCCCCTGTTGTACCCCCTCCACCCCACCGCTTATTGGGGCACAAGTCTTGTTGAGAAAGATTTTGTTTTTTAAAATTATAATAGATTTCTTTAAAAAATATATTTTAAATATATTTTTATTGATTTCAGAGAAGAAGGGAGAGGAGAGAGAGAGAAACATCGATGATGAGAGAGAATCACTGACTTGCTGCCTCCTGCACACTGGGGATCAAGCCTGCAACCCAAGCATGTGCCCTGACCGGGAATCAAACTGTGACCTCCTGGTTCATAGGTCAATGCTCAAGCACTGAGTGACATGGGCCAGGTTCTTTTTTTTTTTTTTAATATGCTTTTATTGATTTCTTTTTTTTAAAGTACATTTTTATTGATTTCAGACCGAGGGAGAGGGAGAGAAAGATAGAAACAACAATGAGAAGAGAGAATCATTGATTGGCTGCCTCCTGCATGCCCCACACTGGGGATCAAGCCTGCAACCCAGGCATGTACCCTGACCAGGAATCAAACCGTGATCTCCTGGTTCATAGGTCGACGCTCAACCACTGAGCCACGTGGGCCGGGCTGCTTTTATTGATTTCAAAGTGAGGAATGGAGAGGGAGAGAGAGAAACATCAGTGATGAGAGAGAATCATTGATCGGCTGCCTTCTGCACTGCCTCCCACTACGGGCAGAGCCCAAAACTTGGGCATGTGCTCTGACCAGGAATTGAACCTCACTGAGTGGAATCAGCTGGTCTGGATTTCTCAATGGGGAAAGTAATCTCAAATTAGGCAGGAGGGATGGGATTAATGGACAATTATGCTCTATCATTTTTGATGATCCATAGGTTGATGATGTAAATAAAACACTTAAAAATCACTAACCACAACCTTTTCTCTTATTACTGGTGACTAGCTATTTGCATTGCATTCCACCTAATTCAGTTCTTCTATTGTTTTACTCTTCATTGAAAACATGAGTTTTTATTTTTTTTATTTTTTAATATATTTTATTGATTTTTTACAGAGAGGAAGGGAGAGAGATAGAGAGTTAGAAACATTAATGAGAGAGAAACATCGATCAGCTGCCTCCTGCACACTCCCCACTGGGGATGTGCCCACAACCAAGGTACATGCCCTGGACCGGAATCGAACCTGGGACCTTTCAGGCCGCAGGCCGATGCTCTATTCACTGAGCCAAACCGGTTTCGGCAAAACATGAGTTTTTAAATATTGGAATCCCTTTCTAAACGATTGTGGTTACAATTAGCATGAAATTGTCTTAACCTTTGGGTTCAGCAGATGCCAATCAAGTAATTTTTATGTAGGTCTGGGGAAAGCATTTTATTGAAGAATAAGTTTGAGAATACTTTTCGAATGGTATTTCACTTTTCAGATATGCATTAGAAGCAATTTATTTAAAAGATAATTCCAAGAATTTTATTAACAACAATCTATTAAAGCTCTTTCATAGCATTTTCTTTAAAAGGTGTATACATTTATTTGAGCTTAAACTTATTCATTGTTACTAACTGAAAGAACATAAGAAATTCAATTAATCAGTTGTAATTGTAGAGTTGGAATTTGTTTAAAATGGGCTAAAGGGGTAAAAGGAGATTTATTAGTTCCGTTTTTTCTTCTTGTTCTTTTTCTTTCTGATGTGCCATTTTAGGTATTTTTTTTTTTTATATATTTTATTAATTTTTTACAGAGAGGAAGGGAGAGAGATAGAGAGTTAGAAACCGATCAGCTGCCTCCTGCACATCTCCCACTGGGGATGTGTGCGCAACCAAGGTACATGCCCTTGACCGGAATCGAACCTGGGACCTTTCAATCGGCAGGCCGACGCTCTATCCACTGAGCCAAACCGGTTTCGGCATTTTAGGTATTTTTAAACATTTTTAATTCACTGGCATTAATTACATTCACAGTGTCAAAACCATCACAACTACTTCTAAAATTTCATCACTCCAAATAAAAACTCTGTACCCATTAAGCAATAACTCTTCATTCCTCCCTCCCCCTAGTCCCTGGTAACCTCTAATCTATTTTCTGTCTCAGAATTTGCCTATGTTAGATATTTCATATAAGAGGAATCATACAGTATTTGTCGTTTTGTGTCTGGCTTATTTCACTTACAGTGGTTCTCAACCTTCTGGCCCTTTAAATACAATATCTCATGTTGTAACCCAACCATAAAATTATTTTCGTTGCTACTTCATAACTGTAATGTTGCTACTGTTAGGAATCGTAATGTAAATATCTGATATGCAGGATGGTCTTAGGTGACCCCTGTGAAAGGGTGGTCGGACCGCCAAAGGGGTTGCGACCCACAGGTTGAGAACCGCTGACTTAGTATATTATTTTCAAGGTTCATTTGTATCATAGCATGTATTGGAACTTCATTCTTTTTTATAACTGAACTAGAGGCCCGGTGCATGAATTTGTGCATGGGTGGGAGGGTCCCTCAGCATGGCCGGCAATTGAGCCAATTGGGGCCCGCAGGCCGGTGGGGGGGGGGGAGGGACCACTGGAGGTTGGCTGTGGAAGTACACTGACCACCAGGGGGCAGCTCCTGCGTTGAGCATCTGCCCCCTGGTGGTCAACACACGTCATAGCTACCAGCTGGTCTTCTGGTTGTAACGATTGCTTAGGCTTTTATATATATAGATAAGGTTCCTTTGTATGACATACCACATTTTATTTATCCATTCATCAGTTGAGGACATTTAAGTTGTTTCTACTTTTTGGCTGTTGTGAATATTGCAGTTATGAACATTGGTGAACAAGTGTATTTTGAATCCCTGCTTTCAAATTCTTTGTGTATATACTTAGAAGTGGAATTGCTGCATTGTTGTTTTTTTCCTTTTTAATGCTTTTCTTGGGGCAGATGAATTTGGATGGATCTGGAGAAATCTCTCAGTAGTATAAAAAATCTTGACATTCATTTCACTTAGCATAATGTGCATGTGTAGGATGTGTCCGAATTTCCTTTTTAATCCTCATTATGATTTTTGGGTTTTTGAAGTTTTTGTTTTTATTGTATGGCAAAGGAAATAATTATTTTTTAAAAGATTCTAAGAATTGATTTAGAGAGAGGGAGAGGAAGAGAGAAACAGCAATATGAGAGTGGAACATCAATTGCTGCCTCCTGCAAGCTCCCTACTAGGGATGGAGCCTGAAACCCAGGCATGTGCCCTGACCAATAATTGAACTGGCAACCCTTCAGTACATGGGACGATGGCCAACCAATTGAGCCACACTGGCCAGGGCAGGAAATAATGTTTGAAAAAAACTACTGTATAAGATTATATTATAATTGTAGAAGTGGAGAGTAGTGAAGAGTTGGTTAAGATGAGTCATGATTATGCCCA